TGTTGGGGCACCATGCCCTGGCCCCAAAGTCTGCCTTCAGCATTCTCTGGGGACCTTGCTGCTCCATTCCCTTGCTGTCCCGCTGCACTCCCCCTTTCAAATTACACAAGATCCTCCCAGAGGTTTCTATACATCTGTCTAGGAGAGCTCAGAGGAACAGCTATCACACTCAGGGTACTTTGAAATAGAAAGTACAGGAGTTCTGGTGATGTAGCGGTTACGAATTGGGTTGCTAACAGCAAGGTCAATGGTTCAAAACTGCCAGCCACCTCGCTGGGGAGAAAGACTGGAGTTTCTCCTACTCTGATAAAGAGTTACAATTGCAGAAACTCGCAAGGGCAGTTCTGCTCTGTCCTACAGGATCCCTGTGAGTCAGCACTGACTCAATAATATGAGAGTTAAGTAAAATTTAGGTGGTGAAAATCATAAAGGAAAGTATTATGAATCTATTGCAGTCTGTACTTTCTAAATGTCTAAAAGTGCAGATAACACTTGATTTTTCTATTATTTGTACAAAATGTATTAATTTCTAACTATAACATATTTATTGCATTAGAAAAGATATAAAAGTATCAAAAAGGAAATGAAAGTCCTATCATCCACAAATAACCAGAGTTTATATAATCTTAGTATATATATTGATATATATGTATTTGTTATTATCACAATGATACAACTTCATAATTGTACAGAGATCCTAGAAATATATTATACATAAATGTATATTTCCTGAGGGGGTTATCTGTCCTGGATTATGTGTGTTGAGAGCTCTTATCTGTACCAGTGTACATGCTCTGGTCTAGCTGGATTTGTAAGGTAAGACTGGGGTCATGATAGTGGGGGGGAGGAAGCATAAAGAACCAGAGGAATGTTGTGTGTTTCTTTGGTGCTATACCTTTGGTGTGTACCCTGGTTGGCTTGTCCCTTCCTTGTGACCCTTCTGTAAGGGGATGTTCAAAATATACAGAAGCTAATGTGAGGACACCCCACCCCCACCCCATTGCTTTTAATGCTTAAGGGTCATCCAATTATTCTTTTAATTCTTAAATTATTTTGTCCTTACCTTGTTTTGTTTTAAACAGTATGGAGTATTTTTCTTGTGTAAAACTGACCAAAGCAATTTTCTCAACTATATTTGTTGGCATAAAAGTGAATTCTGTTCTCTGAATTTAGACTTCTAGCCTCTAACATGTGCGAAAATAAATAGATCTTTGTTAAAGCTCCCACTTGTGGTATTTCTGTGGTGGGAGCAGTAGATAACCAAGGCCTATGGTTTCCGACTTCCCCATGTATTGTTGTAATTTCATAAGAATTTGCATCTTTTACAATATACTATATTTGTACAGGTATATAGTATTCTTTTATATACACAAGTCTTACCATTTTGTCCTTCAGTACAATTTTATAGTTTTTAGTAAGGGCCCTTACATTCTTAAATATTTTTCCCCCGGTTGCTTTTTTAGTTGAAATGCCTTTCTCCACACTATAGTTTCTAAATATCTATTTTTGGTGAGTATAATATTATTGATGCTTGAATTTATTTTTGTGTTTGGTCACTTTAGTAAGCCTTATTTGTGCTGATGCAGGTCAAGGCCCTGTTTCATCATGTTGCACCTAGGTTGGTATAAGTCGGAACTGATTGGATGGTACCTAAAAACAGCAACAGTAATCCCTCTTGTCCTTTTGCTCCATATTACTGATTCTTTTTCCAGATACAAAGTGCCATTGCGGGTCCTATTTTGTCCTCTGCCATGCTTCACTAATGTGACTTCTAGTCCCTAAATAGATGGACAATAAAGAAATACTGATAGTGGTTTGGGCCTGGTGTCTAATTGGCTCCTGTATTTTGGGGGATGGGGCTTCTGGCCCTCTGAGAGGTAAAAGTCATGCAGGAATGTATGTAGAGATCTCTGCCTTTCTTCCTGTGTGCTTCTGTTATTTTGTCACATAAGATGCACACGGTGACGGAAATGCTTTCAGTAGTTTGGCAGATTGTTGACTAATCTTTCAGGTCCTGTTGACACTTTGCATCTGGAGATGTGTTCTTTTGAGCAGTTAATGCAAGAATTAACAGAAATTGACTAAGGCCTCTCCAGACAGTTTTTAATTTTGCCAGATAAAATACAAAAATGATTTTCTGATCATAGATCCAGGGGTCAGTCTCAGTCTCAAACTTTCATTTTATACTTGAGGGAGCTGTTTTTGTGTGAAGTGGCTGGACTTCTAGAAGATCACACAAGAGGCCATACTTGGTGTCTCCCACCTCACAACCAGTGCTCTTATCATTCTCGTTCTTGGATAGTCTAAACATATTGGAGTTCATGTGACAGCTCTGCATCCTCAATCCAGAGCGCTTACATTTAGGATTGAAAAAATGTGTTCTACCTGAGTATACACGGCAAACTAGTTATCTTGTCATCATGTTTATACTACATTCAGTGATGTTCACGACGGTGTGCAGCCAGCACCACACTCCCTGTCCAGGGTCCTCATGATTCGTGACAGAAGCGTCAATGCTCCGTAGGCTCCTGCATGTGACACGTGTCACACAAGAAGTCAAGAACGACAAGGAAAACTCTCTCACAGAGCGCCAAAGTTCTCGCCATTTAATCGCATCAGGGAAAAGTCGGTGCCCTTCCTCCCATCTCCCTCTATACGTAGTTCCAAAAGTTTTATGTTAAGAAAGACTCAAGTTGGGATAAGAGTTCTCGTCAATGGGTTGATTCTTTCATACTTAATTTGTGATATTCACGTTCCAATATGGCTGCCCTTTGGTGTTTTAGCTGCTTGATGATTGCTCGTCTCGACTGAAAATGCCTCACCCAGCCAGGATGCTGTACACCTCACATGGAGAGCCCATTCAGTCCTGGGAAGACGTGGAGCGGGACATGGTCCTCTGTGTGTCCACTGGATACGGCTTTGTAACCCACAAAGGTATGGGTAAAAACTTCTTTCACAGCAAACTTTTGAGTGTTTACAAAAGTAAAACACACAGAGCCTAAATACTAAATTTTATATTCCATTATGATTAATTTTTAAAATAACTTTTCCTCCCCCCACATTTTTCTTCTCCCATATGTCAAAAATTAAATTTGTGTATTTATGCACTAGAATCTCATTGTTCACACTGTCTGGTCTAAAGAATTCAACCTTAGTTCAGTTCGTCTTGAACTTTATCCAAGGAGCTTATTTGCATAACTGCTAACAAGGCCTCATTTCCCGAGGAAAGCAAGGGTCCGCTGGCTTGCTACCTTCAATTATTTAACCCTCAATGTTTTGGTAATTGTAACTGTATAATATTAAGATTTATTTTCTTTAGTAATAAGTAAGTATATGCTGGTTTTATTACTCTGCCTATTCTTTGATCATTTTGTGTGATAAATAGCAGAAATTTGAAAGAACATATATTTGTTATTGAACTGACTCTTAACCCTTACTCTATTTATTTTGAAGAATTTTACCCCCTTTCAGTAAGTAGTTATGCATTAGCAATGACTTGATTTTCAGTAAATTTTAAAGAATATTGATATCATTTTGAAGGAGAGTAAAAGATTAAGAAGTAAATTGCCTGGTATCCCTAAGATGATAATACTATATTATTTCTTTTAAGAAGTCAAAATAAAATTATTATCTCCATATTACATATAAAAGAGGTGTCCCAATCTGGAGCACACTTTTGAGGAGCCTGGGTGGCATCGTGGGGTACATGTTGGTATGCTAACTGCAAGGCCAGAAGCTCAAAACTACCATCAAAGAAAAGTGAGGGTTTCTACTCTGGGAAAATGTACAGTCTTGGAAACCCACGAGGGCAGTTCTACTGTGTCTTGTAGAATCTACTGTGTCCTGATGATCAACCTAATGGCAGTCCATGGAGTTTGATTTCAATCATACCTTTGTGTTTAGCCCAGATGGTACTAAATTATAAAAATGAATACCTCCAAATAGAAAGAAAATGAGTTGTTGGGATGTCAAGCACTTTTCTTAGAGATGCAACAAATATTCCTCCAATACCACCTACGCAGTGGGAGAAAGTCTAATTTATGACCACGATTACCCATCACCATGACCCTTGTTGACTCTTCCTATATTGTTACTTAACACAGGGCGCTGATACTGGATTTCTTATCAACCAGTATTCACACTCACTCACTGCTCTCAAGACCGACTCACAGTGACTCGGTAGAACTGCACCCGTGAGTTTCTGAGCCTGTAACTCTTTATGAGAGTAGAAAGTTTCTTTTTTCACCTGGGGAGAGGGCTGATGGTTTTGAACTGCTGACCTTGCCCGACACCACAAGGGCTCCTAAGTACCAATCAGTATTCGTTGCTAGTTTTCAAAGTTCCTCAAATGTATGGCCTATAAAAGAATAATAATCCATGGCGTCGTCTCTGAAAAGAGTTTCAGTGTAATAAAGAACATGAACACACTTGAAATGACTGCCACACGATTCCGTACGAAGCAAACAATTGGTGTAGCGAGTGCCACCTCTCCAGTCCAGATCTCTTGTCCGTCGTCACTCATTCATATGTTTTGGAAAGACTACCGTTGCTTGGACACCCTTCTCCCTGTCTCATTGTGTTCATTTGGCCTATCTGATAACTAAAGCTAAGGTCTGTTTCCAGCAGCCTAGCCAAAAGGGTGTCCACAACACAGACAGAAATGCTGACTGCCTTCCAGGAAGCAAGGCTGCCACCAATAAAAACCGTGAAGGGAGAGAGAAAGCTGGAAATGCAGACATCATTCACCCAACTCTGTTCTTCTACATAACAAGGCTTGTAGACAAGAGTTTATCTTGTACCCGCAGTCTATAGCCACATGGTTATGATGTATTGATTTAACTACTTATGGTAGTATGCCCCCCTTATTATCTTCATAAAAAGTACTAATTACCTTCCCCGACTGTCTAAATTCTTTCCAACAAGTGATAGATGCTGTGGAATACCTGTTGGGCTGCATTGTCTACTTCAGTTGCTCTTTGGAAACTGATGGGACTAGATGGTTTGCCACTTCATTGTTTTCTTTGAGAGGATCTTTAGAAATCACCATTTTGTGGAAATATGAATATTCAGTGTGCCTTCAAAAGGTCAAGAGAGAAGTGTCACTTGCACATGTGTACTTAGTTCACTGACCATTTCATCCTTCCATTCATTATTTTTCTGTGACCTATTGACTTCATCATGTAGGAAGAAAATAAGACGGTGCATGCGTTTCAATGCTAGCGTCCCATAGTCACTCATGTTATGTATGCAATGTAATACGAACCCATTTAGCATGAGGAGGGTCTCATCAAAGACTGACAATCAATTTTGAAACAGAAATGTGGCAAACAAACCTAATGGTGTTAGACCGGATCCTTTCACACAAGACCCATCAGAATGAAAAGAGCACCTTATGCCATTTGCCATAAACTCTGAGCAGTTCTCACTGCTGTGTTTTCCATCTTTCCGGTGGATTCAGTATTTTAGACTGCTCTTGGGTTAGTTTTCCTCCTGGGCTTTGTTACATGCCCGGAAAGAAGCCCTCCCTAGCAACTACCATTCTCTAGAAATACAAAGAATTCCAACACATCTCTGAGATGATAAGCAAGTCAATGTGTAACGAGAGCCCAGAGTGGGACCCAAGGCTTTCTGAAGGAGCTTCAAGTTTTTCATCGTCCTGGACTTTTAATTATTTTCTCTGAATGCATTGACTTTCTCTCCCTCTCTCTCATATATATATAACAGAATTAAAGCAACAGATGGAGGTCAGAGCAAATTATGCCAGAATCCGAAGGCAGGAGGGCCCTGAAGCCACAGACATCATGGTGTCTCCACCGTCCAAACTGCTGTCTCTGGTAGGTAATTCATTCCTGGAAAAGCCTGAGATTTCCTGCTACATTTCAACGTTATAGCTTCTGTGTACTTAGTCATACTCGATGCTTGGTGCAGTATAATTATTAATGGTTTAATTCTGTGCAGTCTTTAAAAAAGCTATTACCTTATACATTTTGCGTAGTTGGCATTTGATGCCTCACATCTGTTCCTGGAAAGCCAATAAAATGAGGCAAAGTAATGCCATTAAGGTAACTATCTCATCTGCATTTTCTTACAGGAAGAGAAACATGGAAACTGCTAGTAATTATAGAAAGTTAATTTAGTGGGATCAAGTTACTCAAGGAAATAATATCTGGTAACAAAATAGATTCTGTCACCACCTAACAGCCAATTTGATCCCAAGGAACTTTTGTCTGGTTGGCCAAGTTGCCGTATTTTCAAAACCTCTGTTTTCAAATCCTACATTTACTGAGTGGAAGTGAAATGTCGGGTGGCCACAAAATGCCACACGCATCACTCTTTACTTCTCTCGTTTCTATAGGAATGCTTTAGGACCCTTGTGGGACCTGATTAGATGTCCATGGGAGAGAAGCTGGGAAATTCCCGACATATTTGTCAGGAAGAAAAGGCCCTAGACCATGTCCCTCAATGGAGACTTGGGGGGAAGAAGATAATATACTAGTTGTGGAAGAAAGCCTACGGGGATTTTTATTTTTTGCTAAGAGGCTGAGAGTAAGCCTTCGCAACCTTAGCTTGCAGTCTGACAGGAAGAGAAGAACTTCCCCTTTAGGCTCTTCCTGGGGTGAAGAAAGAATCCTTTTTGTTTTAAAAATCATTGACACATCAAAATTTGGCGTCTCTTCCTTGTGGAAATTTTTCAGAGAAATGCTCTTCCCCTCTCTCTTATTCTGCAAGCAACTCACAGCTCTTTCTGAATATAAATTGTACCCTGGCTAGGTGTGTCCTGAATGGCTTAGCCTAGCTCGCTCCTCTCTCACCCACTTTAATGCAGGCAGGCAGATCACTTCTGCTCCCGGTCTGCAGATCAGGACGACCGCATGGATACATCCCTGGTGCCTTGAACAGCACTCAAAGCAAAGCACGTGGCGGTGAAATTTCAGAACATGTTACATCAGCAGCAGTTTGCCCCTGTACAGACATTGTTCTGTGTACTTGTGCAATGTGAGAAATGTGAAGTACTCAGAAGCAGCTATATGACATGCAGGGGACAAAGGCAGTGTGCAAACCTAATTCTCCTTTTTCTTCTTTTTAAACAAGAAGGATTAAGGACTTCTTCCCAGTCAGAAAGTGGACCGGCAGGACTCTGATCCACTGTGTTTCTCTTTACAAAGGACTTGGCCACATGCCCTCAATAGACATAGCTTTGCTTTCGTCTTCCTCAAAATTCCTTGAAAACAAAGCATTTCTCTAGGTGAAAAGGTACCTGTCATTTTGCTGCTGGAGCAAACCTGATTTGCTAAGAAAATGGTCTCATTTCACCCTGGATCAAATGTGCAAATTCTTGTGAAGTTCTTCCTTCTTGCCTGTGACTATGCCTGAAGCGAAAATTGGTAATATCACACAACACTTTATTAAGCATCAGGAGACATAAGGCAAAAGTCTTAACTGAACTTTTCCATTAGTAGTAAATGGGATTTTAGATGTAATATAACAGTCATCAACACATCACATTTTACCAGCAAGGCAGTCACACGCGCGCTGTACACAAGGGCCTGCCCAAGGTATCAAGGAAGTCTGTAGCCACTGTTAACATAGATGAAGAACATCCGTGCTCTTTCCTTATTTCCTGCTTAGTTGGCTGCCACTTGGGTTGGGGAGCAGTTCTCTACCTTCAGCAGGCACTGTAGCCCAAGACTCTTAAAATTCTGTTCAACCCACCTAGGCTTTTAATACACCCAGTAATTTCCTTTGGGGAGATGTTTATCACATTTGAATCAATTTCATATATATATATATATATATATATATATATATATATATACTGTATATATAAGGCAGATTTCAATATTTTTTTCTATCAACTGAAAACCATTTATTATTAAGTACTAAGGCCACCATCTCTTAGCCCATGGCCTTCTCTAGAAATTTATTTCCTGCTGGTTCACAAACACCCTTAAGGTGATCCAGATGTTAATCAACAGTGTGCCAGTATTTGTGATTATCCTCCGGAGAACTGGATTTTGCTGCCCACCTCTAGCTTTTTTCTGCCTGATTAGGTGTTGGAGCAAAGTTGCATGTTTCAAATAACAACTACAATGTGTGTGTGTGTGTGTGTGTGCATGTGTGTGTGTGTGTGTATCTGAAAGTCAGACAAACATTGTGCGATTACCTGACAGTATTTATAAATAAGGAACATTTGTTTTTGACTGCTCTTCTGGCCCTGAAAAAAAAGAACACTAAAGTAATGATAGAGCATACAGAGGGAAGCTTTGTAGAGCTTCTTCAAAGTTCGCAGGGAGGTAGATAGGAATTTCCATTTTTTTCTTGACCAGGACTAATAATGAATACTGTTTCCATGATCAAGAAGATAAACCAAACAAAGACAAAAGAAAAACACAGACTTTGGACCCCATTGCCAGGAAATCATGCAGGCACCCTGGCCAGTGACTGTCACAGTGTTTCCCAGCTCACCTTCAATAATAGCCCAGGTGCGCTGAGTGGCATCGAGATGCCTGTGAGTCACCAAGGCAGCACATTTTTCTGGCATAATTTAGAAAGGAGTGATTTAACCAACCAACCAACCAACGGACCGAACGTGTGTGATTGCAGGTCATCAGAAAATCGGGTGCAAATGTCTCCTGTGCGTGGAATGTAGACCCAGTGCTAATCCGCAGTTGTTTGCCTTAGATCACCGGCTCTGGTCTGGCTGCTTGGCTCCGCCTCCCACCCACTCCCCTCCCATAACCAGGCACAGAGAAATGAAGAGCGGCGACTTGTTCCTAACATAACCAACTCGAATCCAGCATACATGGCGTGGTCTGGGGTTGCTTTGCCGTAAAGTCACTGTGAAGCAACATCTACAGAGACCTCTCGGAGAGTGCGGATGAAAGCGAGCGGCACGGCCTTGTACAGTGTGGCTTCGGCGAGTGCCTGCTGCCAACTGTATGTTTTCTTGCTCTGCGAGTCCGTAACACAAAACTGCTATCACTAGGCTGTCACCCCGTGCACCATATGTGCAAATAGAAATATGAGAATAGAGGAAGTGCTTGTGCCCGTGATGTCACTGAGTGTGCTGGGGGAGGCAAAAAGGGAAGAGGCTAAAAGGTGATTTGTTTTGTGAGCAAAGCGATGATTTTGAATGGAAGGACCTACTGTTCACTCTCTGCTGTCAACCTGCCTCTCAGCCTGGGAGCAAATACATAAGGGGCTGCAAAAAGGTTTATGGGCAAATTGCATTCTCTTTTCATTCTGCTTTCCCACAAATGTTTTGAAGCCTCCTCCTGGCAGCCTCAGTCGTCTCGCTGGGCTGGTTGCTGCTCTTGCGTTGGCCCCAGGCACATTGGCATCTGACTGATTCGGGGGTACTGGCTGGGTGTCCGGGGGGAGAATTTTAGAAGATGGGGATTAATAATGGATTTTTAGCTCGGGTGCGATGCTTAGGAATGTCAGACCCACTGAGCTGGTTGGTCCGTCGGTCTCTAGGCACCACCACTAGCAGCCGTGCTTGGAAGGAAGTCATCCCAAGGCATGTGGTCCTTACATAACTGCAGGATAATGCTGCGGGGACTCCCAGAACTCCTAGGGGTAATGCCCCGGGCATGTGGTCCTTACATAACTGCAGGATAATGCTGCGGGGACTCCCAGAACTCCTAGGGACAATGCCCCCAAACAGAAGACTTGATGATGTGGATTTCTCCTTTCAATTTGGGCACTTGCTCCCATCGCTCCTTCTCACCTTCTCACTGCAGTCCTCCTGGCTTTTCTCTTCCCACCTCTCCCTTAAAGTAGTCCTCTCCGGAGCACTCTGTGGACCAGCAAAGACTTCTTCCCTAACACGGTTCTTCAAGTTCAGTGTGTGCAAGCAACGCTGCAATCAACTGCCTGTTTCCAGGCTCCGCCCCAGAGAGTCCGATTCCTTTGGTCAGAGGTGGAGCAGGGAATCTGCATTGTGACAAGCCCCTGGGAAGAAAAGTGGTGCCTGAGCACCTGGGAGAAGCTGCCCCCTGGGCTGTGTGCCTTTCAAGGAAGCATAGTTTGCTCTTAGCTGGGCACGGCCCAAAGATATCTGCCAGTTTCTAGAACCTTGCCTACCATTTACCTTTCTGGGCAAAAGGCATTTGTTGGGCATAGGAGGCTTTGAGTCGAATCTGTATCCTCATGTTTTCTTATCACCATTTTCTTAAGAAATGATGGAAAGCTTTCTAGATTGGGGTTAACCGCCCAGATGCTATTAAGATCCAGACACTGGGAGGCTGAACAAGTGAGTTTGAGGGGCTGAAGCTGCCCATGTTAATTAAGCTGTTTCAGTGCTGATCAAATCTTGCTGTTTTAAAGGTCACACGAATAATGTCTACATACATCAAGGCGCAGATTAATTTTGAGGGTTGGGAAAATAACCAACTCTCTGGCATTTTGTTGTGTCCTTTATGCTTACAAAAAGGGAGTGCTCAGATTAAGGACCAGGCTCCTATCAGAATGTGGCCCCTTTTTCAATTGAGCACCTACGTACTTTCTTTGGGAAGAACACTTCTCCCAGGCTCTCTCTCTGTCTAGTTAATGTGTAAGCCTGAGTCCTCCTTTCCCTGGGAGATGCTTCTGGGATGTGACATGCTGCTGAACAAGATGTATTCAATCACAAATGCTCTTCGGGAAAACTCATTCATATAAATATAGATAGCCAGCCATTGTTCTAGGTGTGCTGATCAGGCAACAGCGAATGGGATCAGGGTGGTCTCAGGCCCTGTGGGGCTCATGGGTAGCATGTAGAGCAAGGGATGGGGAAGAGAGGGTGCACTCAAAGTAAATAAAATCACCATTTTCAGTGAAATAATGAAAAAGT